TGCTTGTGCGTATATGTGCAGCATGAAGAATCGATGAGCATGCTGAAGACGGTTGCACGGGAACTCACCATGACAGCAGCAGACATGTCGCGGTGAGTGGCGCGGCCTGAGTTGTGTGTGTATGTGTATGTGTATGTGCATGTGTATGTGTATGTGTATGTGTATGTGAATGTGTATGTGTATGTGTATGCGTATGTGTATGTGTATGTGTAAGTGTAAGTGTAAGTGTATGTGTATGTGTATGCGTGTGTTTGTTTGGAGAGCGACGATGTGCTGCACCTCTCACGCTTCTCACGCTCCCTTGCACACCACTGCATCTCCTCCCTTTGCGTACCCATGTGCCGTGTTCGTTAGCGCGAAAGAGAAAGCGCAGCAGTTTGCTGATCGCGACACGGAGGCGTTTGAGGTCGTCGGCCAATTTTATCCGCAGGTGCTACTCCGTGCTCGTTGATTGATCCTTTCGTTGCCTTGATACCTGCACACACACACACACACACCAGCACGCATGTATGAATGTGTGTATTCACACACACACACACACACACACACACACACACACACACACACACACACAAACACGCACATGTTCACGCATGTGCTGTTCGACAGCTGAAGGAGCCGCATCTTCCGGCAACGCGGCCGGCGTCACTTGCTGTCGAACGGCGACCCGAACACGTCGATGAAGGTGCGATGTGCACACACACACAGCCACACACAAACACACAAACACACCAACACACACACACACAACCACACACACACAAACACACAGCCACACAGCCACACATTTGCATGCCAGCGATCAACTTGACCTGATAGTGTGTTTGCTTGTGCTTACACTCCATTCTCCCCCAAAACTCTCAACGGATCAACAATGGCAGACGACCACAAGTTGCTGTGGCGCCAGTTGGGCACGCGTCGCCAGTTTGAATCGCTGCCGCCAACGCTTCTCTCCATTGGTGAGAGGACGCAGCAATGGCCCCCATCATTAATCCCTGGTGGTGCTGCTGCTGCCATGTCGCTCGTTGCTGCCCATTACCACCGCACATCCTCACCCCGTCTGCATGCGTGTGCGTGTGCATGTATGTGCGTGTGCATGTATGTGCGTGTGTCTTACCGTGGTTGTGCAGAGGTTGTGTATGCGTACATCACAGATCTTGCTGGCCGCGTGCTCGCCCACGACGTACAGCTCGCCTTTGACACCGCCACCAGTGAGGACGACGTCATCTCGTTCCAGCAACACATGTACAACATGTTTGACGAACGCTTTCCCCACGCAGATGCCGCCACGCTCGCCATCCGCGACTTTCTCTTCTGTACGTGTGTATGTGTTTGCTCTCTGTGTGTGCGTGTCTTGCGTGCGTGCGTGTGTGTGTGTGTGTATGTTGCTCTCCTTCTCTATTCGTTTCTGTGTGCTGTGTTCGTGCGCACATCCACGGTTCGCCCCTGAATTGCAGCGCTTCTTTCCCTCATATGTTGCGACCGTTGGTTCGTACTCGCGTGTGCACGTGGCCACTGACGGTGTGCGTTCGTTTGCACCTCAGCTGTGGAGCATCACAGCAGCGCCGATCCGCTCGTACAGCTGCTCTTCTTCTCGCTCGTCGGAAAGCAGGATGTGTCATCGCTTATGCACTACACAATCGTCCACATGGTGCGTCCTGTGCTTATCATTGTGTGTGTGTGTCGCGTGTTTGTATGTATGCGTGTGTTGAATTATGCTTTGGCTCGTGATGATATGCGTGTGTGTGCACTCAAACAGAATCCATCCACCCATGCAGTCCATCTTCCATCCACCCGCGTTTCCTCACCGGGCACACGCTCGTCTCGTTCTTCCACACATGTTCAGTTGATCCACACGTTGCAGCTCTCAACGCCGCAACACCTCTCCTGGCTCATGACGGAGCTGTTTCCAGACTCGGTGGGGCAAGCGTTCGTGTCTCGTGGCATGCGCGTATTTGCGTACATTTGTGTCTCGTGGCATGCTCGTGTGCGTATGCGTGTGTGCATGTGTGCATGCGTGTGCGTGTGTGCATGCGCGTGTGTACGGTGCATTTCAGTGTGCTTTGTCCGGGTGTGCCAACTCGCTTATCTTCCATCCATGCTTCCCCGTGCCAGCTTACATGACGCGTTTGCTGTACATACGTTCTTCCCCCCTCTCACCGTGTTCCCACTGCTCCAACCAGCACCTGTCACTGGACAAGCTGATGCTGGCGTACACGGGCTTTGCCGATGGCGCCCCGTCCTCCGATCGCATCTCCCGCTTTTATCTCCGCGAAACCGCTGCGCGCGACTGGAATCCAGCAGCAGCCGAGGTGGAAGGGATGATGGAAGAGGAGGGACGGGGGTGTGCGTGGTTGCTCTGTGTGGTTGCTCTATGTGGTTGCTCTGTGTGTGCGTATGTGTGCGTCTCTGTGTGTGTGCGTGTGTGTGCGTGTGTGTGCGTGTGTGTGCGTGTGTGCGTGTGAATGTTCGTGGGCATGGTCGTGTGCACGCACGACTGCGTTTCCAAGTACATCCTCTTTCCTAACAGTCACCACTACCACCACCACCACCACCACAACTGACACGTCATGGCCACCGCCATAGATTGTGCGCGTTGCTGCGGAGGTGGCCGGTGCGCCGCCAACGGGCTCGAAACCGCTCAGCGTCATCAAGTGCGAACGCATCAAGCACGCGCTCCATCCACACGTTCCCGACCAGGTATGCGTGTGCGTGCGTGTGTGTGCATTTCGTAAGTGGCATGTGCATGCACTCTGACGGCTGCGAGATGCTCGGTCTCTTGGGTCGTGCTTTGGTTGGTTGACTGGATGCTTCTTTGGTTGGTTGCTTGATTCATTGATTGCATTGATTGCATTTCCCACCTCCTTGGTATCATGTGGAATGTCCTGCACACAGGTGCTGCGGCTACTCTACGAACAATCCGCCAAGATACATGGGTATGTGTGAATGTGTATGTGTGTGTGTGAAGGTGTGTGCGTGTGCTTGTACCAGTGAATCATGCTGTGTGTCGTGTCTCTCGTGGCTGCGGCTCTCTGCATTGTCGTTCTCGTCACACACACACACACACACACACACACTCTCTCTCTCTCTCTCTCTCTCTTTCTTTCTCTCTCTCTACTGCAGGGTGGATGCTGAGTTGCCGTCGAGTGTGTGCACGTGGCTGCTGCTCCACGCACGCTTGTTGTTTGAGACGGAAATGGTTCGACTCAGCCTCAAAGACAGACTGGTACGTCCTCTCGTGCGTGTATGTGTTTGTGTGCATGAATGTGTGTTTGTGTTTGTGTGTTGATGATCATCACGACATGACATCACCTTTGCTCAAACTGGTGTTGCGTTCCGTTCGGTACCCTCGCTACTGCAACTCACATTGGCTGCCCTTCGCTGCTTCCTGCTTCCGTTCATATGTCACACGACAAACGCAACCAACACAACCGCAACCAACAAAACAGGACGGGCTGTCTGAACAGCAACTGCTGGTGAACAAGCGGAGCCGCCTCGTGCAGCTGAAGCAAGAGCTCGCACCAAGAAGTGGACGGGCAAGCACGTCGTGATGTAACGCTGGACACACACCAACAACAGAATAACGAAAGACGAAAAGCAAGCATGTGCAGGCGCAAGCAGCCAACAAAGAACACTGGCAGAGGTGGAGTGGGCCGGTATCTTATGTCATGGCTCGGGCAATTGTGCCGTCATGGAGAGTAGAAGCTGCCCGACGGGCGGGTGAATGCTTCGTCCTCAAACAACTTGATCTTGCTCCTGCAGTGCAGGGAGCCATAATAAAGCAACACACGCACATGGGCAGCATGTTGGTGAGCGAAAAGTGACGCAATGCAAGCGCGCACATGCAAAGTGAGACAAACGCACGCGCACCCACACAGACACGCACACGCACCCACACAGACACACATAGACACGCATGCATCCACGGTAACACACGTGCACGCGTCGACTTGGAAGTTTTCGGGGTTGCATGTGCAGTTTGGATACTGCGGATACTGTTTCTGGGAGTTGGGGCAACCGCAAATGATCAGGTCCTTGTTCAAGCCCTTGGCCTGCAGATGATGTGGGGAATGTAATGAAACGAGCGTGATGAGCGTGAGCTGTAAGTTGAGCGCCATTGGCAGATGTAGCGCGAACAGCCAATGCGGTCATTTCATACGCATGCGCTCTTGTGTGTGTGTGTGTGTGTGTGTGTGTGTGTGTGTGTGTGTGTGTGTGTGTGTGTGTGTGTGTGTGTGTGTGTGCTTGCTTGCTCGCTCACCATTTGGTTTGGGACGGGTTTCAGGTTGCGGAGGTGTTCGTCAACAGCGGCGGTGATGATCTGATGCGAAGACGAATGTGTAAAGCGCGTGAGCACGTGGACTCAAATTGTGAGGACCCAAATTGTGAATGTGGGCGTTTGTGTGGGAAGGTGCGGGAATGGGTGCATCACACAGCGACACAAAACGAGCCATTGACATTTGTGCTTCACCTTGTGCTGTTGCTTGTATTCCTCGGACGCGGGGTCAAGCTGGCAAGTATGCACATGTGCGTGTGATTTGTGTGACATGTGCACCAGCGTGAGAAACAGAACAACCAGTGGCACAGCAAAGCACGTCTTGTGCATGTGCATGTGTGTGTGTGTGCGTGCATGTGTGTGTGCATGTGTGTGTGTGCGTGCATGTGTGTGTGCATGTGTGTGCATGTGTGTGTGTGTTTACCGGCCAGTTCTCGGAGGGGTCGTTCTCGATCTGGTACATGAGCGGGGGGTCGTGGAATGTGCCGTTGGCCGGGTCCTTCAGCGACTCTGACGTGACGTAGCTGAACAGTTTTGCCATGACATGTGCGCAGTGTGCACTGGCGGTGAGGCGATGATGGCCTTGATTACACACACACACACACATATGCACTCACTCACTCAGGTACACCTGTCGCACCAGCTAACATCACAACACTCACACACACACACACACACACGCACGCACACACACAGCCCGGTGAGCACACGTACTGCATCTTGT